AGAGTTCGCGAAGACATCACGGTGTCTTGGGGTCTGAGGCGTGATTGGGATCGACTTCAAGAAGCTTTGGGAAGGGGAACGTCTGAGCTTCTTCGCAGCCGGCTCAACGTAGGTGTCGTCGAGATCGTTGTCGACATCTGGCGTGGTGGCAGTTACTTCGGGATCCGCGTTCTCGTCGTTCTCTGAAGCAGCTCGGGTCCGCCGTCTGGTACGCTTGGCAGGAAGGTCGACCAAGTCTGGGCTGTCTGTGAGAAAGTGCATTTGGGTTATAGGAGTGATAATGCCTACCTTGGTCCTGGACAGACCTAGTCCGCTTGCCGAGTGAGGCACGAGACATTGTTGCTGGGTATTATGATTATAGTAAAGAGGCAATCGTGACTGACAATTCTAAAGTAGACAACGCAGGAAAGCTTGTTCAAGGTACCAACAAATGTGAGGTAGGAAATATCGAGGTGTGGGAAGTTGGAGCTGTAAGTGGAACTGCAGAGTCTTAATTAAGTGGTAGGCGCGCGCCAGCACGATGACCGGGGAACGACGCGATACTAGGGTCGCGGAACGCGCTTTCTCGCGATTCAATTAAACACGGCTCGGTAGAGTGCTTTGATCCGTGCGTACGCGACCGAGAAAGATGGGGTCTTGTGTTCGTGCCTTCGTGCCTTCCCCTCCCCTGCTTCCTGGCTCGTGCGCAACGGTACCTTACATAATGCAATTGGGACACGGTTGGTTTCACAGTGTTGGCTCATATCGCCTACGACCGCACTGTCTACCCCTGTTTCCCCACGACGGCCACAGACGGCTTGTGGCAATCGACGACCGACCTATTGGGGCGGCGGAGGTGCCCGGCATTCTAGCATGAACGGCGGACAAAGCCGCCATCCCACGATACCTGTCTTGGCTCATGGCAATCTTCTATTTCCTCGCAAATGTGTTTTGATTCTCTCCCATAATGACACACAGACAATCACTGATTTCATACACACATTCACTCGGACATGCATGGACGGGCACTTTGTCTCACCTAATCCGGCGCATTCGTTAGACAGAGGGGTCACTAACGTTCCCAACGTTGCTGTTTACCTACTTCCATACCCCTCACTAACAACCCTGACTACCAACTCATATTGTGCCTTTTACCACCTGTGGTATTTGCGGAAACACTTTTCGCCATCATGGTCGACGGGGATATGGGAAGCTATAACTCCCGGGTGGATGAGTTCAGGGACAGGGAGTACCCCATGATCAAAGGTCCATTGGTCCATCAACTACAGTTATTATATCTCAACTTACTAACCAACAACACAGATTCTATATATCTCGACCATGCCGGAACAACGCTATATGCCAAGTCCCTGGTTGACAGATTCTCTGCAGAGTTGACGTCAAACTTATTGGGCAACCCCCACTCCGCTTCGCCTTCTTCTCAGTATAGCACTTCTCGCATTGAAGACATTCGCCTCAGACTTCTCCTTTTTTTCAGCGCTGACCCTGAGGAATTTGACTTGGTCTTCGTTTCCAATACCACAGCTGGGATCAAACTTGTTTCCGACGCCTTCCGAGCCTCACCAGAGGGCTTTTCTTACGTATACCACCAAGCTTGCCACACAAGTATAATAGGGGTTCGCGAAGAGGCGCGCGATAGCAGATGCGTTACGGATGGCGATGTGAGACGTTGGATCGATGGGCAATCCCCTCTGAATGATTCGGAAGCATCGAACTCGCCCACGCTATTTTCATATACGGCCCAGGCTCACATGGATGGGCGGCGTTACCCGTTAACGTGGCCATCTCTACTGCGAGAATCGCCTGCCACCTCACACCGGCAATTTTATACTCTATTGGACGCAGCCTCACTAGTGGCCACTTCCCCTCTAGATCTCAGTAACTCGGAGACGGCACCCGATTTCACGGTTCTGAGTCTTTACAAAATCTTTGGCTTTCCAGATCTTGGTGCTTTGATTGTTAGAAGGCAGGCCGAGCCAATTTTCAACCAAAGGCGCTATTTCGGGGGCGGCACTGTTGACATGGTTGTTTGCGGAAAAGAAAGATGGCATGCCCCAAAATCGACGTTCCTTCATGAGAGGTTAGAGGATGGCACTCTTCCATTCCATAACATCATTGGACTTGATGCTGCTCTAGATATCCACACAGAGCTCTTCGGAAGTATGAGTTGCGTGGCATCGCACACAGCATTCCTCAGAAACCGACTATACGATGGACTTGCCAGCCTCAAACATGGAAATGGGTTGCCCGTTTGCACCATTTACTCAGAACGGCGCAGCGATGTCGATGGCTCAGTAGGAAGCGGGCCACTCATTTCCTTCAATATTCGCGACGCTACCGGAGCCTGGGTCAGTCTATACGAGCTTGAAAAATTGGCCACGTTGAAGAACTTACATATTCGAACCGGCGGCGTCTGCAGTCCTGGAGGCATCGCTTCAGCACTCGGCCTCAGCCCATGGGAGATGAGAAAGAATTTCTCGGCTGGGTTTCGCTGCGGCACTGACCAAGATGTCATCGCTGGAAAGCCGACTGGCGTCATTCGAGCAAGTCTTGGTGCGATGAGCACTATTTCCGACGTTGACTTCTTAATCGACTTTATCGACGAATTTTATCGAGAAGAGGTGTCAATTGATGACTGTCACGCCGAAAACCAAACTTCGTTGATAGGGTTCCAAGTCCAGGGCATCAGCGTCTATCCGATCAAGAGCTGTGGTGGCTTTTCTGTTCCGCTCGGTATGGACTGGGAAGTCATGCCCGAAGGTCTGGCTTGGGATAGAGAGTGGTGTCTTGTTCACCAAGGATCAGGACAAGCACTGAGCCAGAAGAGGTATCCCAAGATGGCCCTCATCAAACCCACTCTTGACTTCGACGGCGGCGTGCTGCGTGTAGCGTACAGAGGGAGGAAACCCTCTCACCTACCCGACGAGATCTCAGTTCCCCTATCTGCGGATCCCACTTACTTCGAAACGAATGGCTGCCCTCGTGAGAGGTCCTCAAGGGTATGCGGCGACAAAATTATGACGCAAGTGTATGCCTCCGATCACGTCAACAGCTTCTTCAGTGATATTCTCGGTGTGCCGTGCGCATTGGCACGATTTCCAGCGGGCGGACAGGGACCAAGTATGCGCCACTCAAAAGCCAAAGTGCAAAAACATCAGCACCCTCAAGTTTGGGTTCCAATGGGGAGTTTTGGAGCATCTCCAGAGTTGCCTTCCCCACCGGACTCGGACTCTGAGCAATCACCAGCAAAGATTTTACTTTCCAATGAGAGCCCAATACTCCTGGTGAACACATCAAGTTTGCGCGCCCTCAACGACGAAATTCAGGCGACTGGCGGGGAAGCAGTCCCCTCCGAAGCATTTCGAGGCAACATATTGGTCGGGCCAACTCAGGATTCTGACCATCTCCCATGGGCAGAGGATGGATGGAGAAAACTCACAATCGGTGGTGAGGATTTCACTATGCTGGGATCCTGCCGCAGATGCCAGATGGTATGCGTCGACCAGGAGAGCGGCGAAAGGCACCAGGAACCTTTCGTGACGCTGACCAAGGTTAGAAGGTTCGATGGCAAAGTGTATTTTGGCACGCACATGAGCCATGATTCCACTACGGCACTGCTCAGAGAAGGAACGCGCCGTCCAGTGATACGAGTTGGCGACATGGTCAGCGTAGGAGCATGATGTAGAGTACTTCAGGAAGGCTTGGCTGGCATTGGTCAAGACAAACGGCATTTGCCAGTATAGGTCCTTAATGGTTTACAGACGTCACAGCGGCTGCTCCGTTCCAATAAGCCATGGTTGCCCTCTCACCCTGTCTGTGAAGTTCACCTGTCCAAAGCAACAAGATTCGGTGATTGCTTCCAAAAGAAAGAAAAGGACCTGTTGTAACCAATCAGATCCAACTGCTGAAATAGAATCTCACTTTCTTCATTCTATGGAAGTCAGGGCTGGTTTCTCGTACACAAAACTCGTCAGGTATCAGGTGTTACCAACGAAGAAAAAAAGCCCACGATTAAGGTGAGCGTTTCGCCCACCTCAAATATTACACTTGTGCTTACCTAACCTAATAGTACCTCACCTTTACGAATAGGTACAGTGCGTGCTTTCTTGACTAAAAGTGACTTAGATAAGGTACCTTGCCTTAACAGCGCCCGTGCACTACCTATTCCGTCCCCGGAAAATGTCGCGTCCTGCAGCTGCAGCTTCGAGTCTATCACGTCTGCTTCCCGAGAAAGCAGGCTGTCTCGTTCCCTCGATATGTATTCTTACCGTGAGAGCGTTTTTCAAACCTTCTTGATCAATAACTCGTATTTTTCCAGCATATCGCAGCAACTGAGGGAAACGCGCCCGCTTTCTGGCTTCCTAAGGTTAATTTACCACGCCTGACGCGCGACAGGTCGAGTGCCCTGGCCCATTAAGGTAGTTTCCACCACCCCCTCCACACGTCCCTACAAATACCCCCACCCCTCGCCCTCTCTTCTCCCTCTTCAGTCTTCTCTCAACTCCACATCTTCCACCTCGATCTCCCGACGCCGTCAAGTCAAAGAGGCAACCAACAATCTCCTCGCACTATGGATGGTTGAGCGAATTTTACGTGTTGCGCCTCTGAGCCAACAATTTTCTTTTTTTTTTAATCTCCCCTCCATGATACTTGGTTTCATTTGCAAGCTCGTTGATCCTGCTCTCCCGCCTGGAAGAATTTCGACTCGACAGCTCAGTCTGCGATGACATGCTCCCACGATGACGACCAGACTGTTGCCTGTCGTGGCCAGTCGCAACATGAGGTGCTGCGGTAATCTTGAGTCATTGCTCAAGGGACGCTGTCGCAGCCTTGTTCTACTAGTTGAGCTTTGCCTAACAGCAACAGTCCCAACTCCCAGACATGCTATTGGCCGACAGAGCAAGCGAACGCCTACATGAGCTGCCCTTCCTCTACCCTCACGAATTGATATACCCCCCTGGTTCCGTGCTATACGTACTGATTCGGAGTCTTGGACGTGCACACAGTTCCAGGCTGGCGTCCAGCCTGAGACATCCGATCGGCCTCGCCGGTCTTTATTACCGTCACTTTGTCCTGGGCAGGACGTAAAAAGGCCTTGGAGTTGCATCATGGCAACGAATGAACGACATAGAGAGGCAAATGCAGCCCATGTGTTGAGGTTACGTTTATGATGCTCGTTATGGAGTCACATGTGGTATGTCCTGAAAACTTTGTATGGCCTTAGCAAGACACCTCCCCTGACTAACTTACTTTAGCAACGATCTCTAGATTTGCGACGTTCCCAAGGCTGGGCAACCAAGACGTACGACACCATCTCCTTTCTTCAGCAATTAGACCTCGACATACTCTACCTAATTCTGATGACCCGCCACGTTAATGACATGTTTGTCTGGGACTTTGGCATTCTTGGTTCTTTTCTCTTGCCAAACGGTATGGATAGTAAGAATTTTGCCCCTTGCTTGACGTGCCTTGACCGCACCGCTAACTTGAGCTCCAGGACATTGGATCGGAAAAGGATGGCGCCCTGATCATGATTTGTCCTGGGCAGGACTTTAAAAGGCCCCGATCCTCTGCGTTAAGGATCGGCACGGGTGGGTTTGCAGCTGCAGTTCGGGAACGATGTCTCCCTCTGCGAGCAGGAAAGGTTATCCTGGCAACCCGATTACGCCATTTGGCGCACGAAAATGTCCAGATTACGCTCAGATCCTCGGATTATCGGATCATGAGCGTTGGACGGGTTGGGCGGCTCCGGCCCCCGAAAACGGCCGATTTGGCCCCGGTCTCCGGGTTTCCGGACCGGCTTCCAGGTCCGCTGAAGGCAACCTGGTTGAAACGACGATCGAGATCGACAGTCACGTCAGTATTTCTTGTCACAATCGCCCTCTGGGCATATACAGTGTTTAAAATTCGCGTTATGCGGAAATATCGAGATTTAGCACGTACTCACGTACTGTGTTTGGTGCTCTTCAGCTGCGAAGCTCATGAGCCCGACCCACCGTTGCAGCTTGTGGGCGACTGATGGAAAAGATTGAGCAACACAACCGCTGTCGGAATTCTGACAGACGGGGGTACGCAGGCTGTTATATTGGTTAAACAGTTTGCCTATCCAGTGCCTACAGACGGGGTCCTTTCTGAAGGAGATAAGCGCGATAGTAAGAGCGACATGCCGAGATCGTCACATCAACTCTCACGATTTCTCGCGGCAGAGGCTACTTTGCTCCGGAGCCAGCATCTCGGACTAGGCCGAGGAGGATCTACCCCACGACACACGCCACCACCCATTTGGGTGCCGATACGTGGGGGCAACGTTTGTATTGGGGGCCCGAAAGGGCTCATGAGTTTGGGCTGGTCGCGTCTCTTTGATGTGGTCACATTTGTGGCCATAGAGAAAAGCTCGCGTCTCGATCAACAGTTTTGGGGTTCTGCGGTGGGACCACGTGACAATGGGAAGCAACAGGTGGGGTATTCTGGCTTCAAGCCATGAGAATGCAAGCCTGGCAATGGTTCCCGACCTTCGAGGTTGGTTAAACCTTTGACGACATTGGGGGACAGCAGGTGGGGGATTACTGTTCAGAGTGGGATGGCTTTTGATTCCCTATGATATAGTCCCGGCAGTCGTAATTCAGATCTGACATTTGTCCCCAAATACGTTCCCACGTGGACCTCGTTGCTGTGCTACATAGTATGTTTTCACTGAATGACATGCCGGCTTTGGGGTGCCGTGATGGTTCTAGCATCAACGGACGTAGGTATAATGGGTTGTTTTTTGGTTACTGCGAAAACGTGCTCAATCAATTGCTGAACGATCAGTCGCCTACAAATAAATTGCGACCAATTGACTGGCGCAACTACCTAACTTTACTCCCAGAGCGAATTGTAAGCCAATTCTGAACGTGATAACAAAAATCACTATTGTAAAACTCACAATGTCCAGTTCTTTTCGTAAAAAAGAATTGAAGGTTACTATCCCCCGTTAGGATACTTGTATGCTTCACAGCTTCAAGTTGTGGCGCCGGTCATCAAAGTTTTTGAGATAATCGTCTCAGTCCCTGCAAAGAAGGGGTGGTATTCCATATCTTGAGCGAACTGCGCCAGACTAATATGTGCCGTATATATTACAATGTTGGGGCCTCAAAGGGCTTGTCATCCTTCCATGAACGCCGTAACCCATACAATTTTACAAACTCCAGACTACCAATTGCCGTATCGTGATACTCTTATTTCGGGGGGCTAGCAGGGCCACGAGTCCAGCTGCGAAGTTGTGTTAGTGAAAGGAAACCAGATAGGGTGGATAGCTTACTTGTGCCACATCTGTCCAATGAATCCAGGCGCCGGCTTCGAATCAGTCATTGATTGTCTGCGGGCTGCGTTACCGTCGTGACGCTTTTGGTCCATGAGACCTTGGAAAAGGGTCCCGGAACTCTGGACGATATTGTTAGCGATGTCATACGCGTATAACTAGCTTCCGGTGAATCTTTACACGTCTGCGGCCGGTGGGAGAGACGGGGATATCGACGTTCTTGCTTGAGTCCATGATGAATATTGGTTTTGTTTGATAGGTCTGATTAGGGTGTTGTCGTAAATTTGCTTGTGATTATAGTTGTCAAGTTGTTTGTTTCTATTGTGTGGTAATTAGAATTGGAAGAAGAGGGGAAGAAGAGGAGATATATAAGCAATCCGGCTTCACAGCTGGTCGAAGCACCCACCCCCAGCTCGAGCTTCGACTTACCATAGGGCATGAGTTCAAGGTAGGTAGCTCGACAAGGGCCCATGGTGATCCTGTACCACCCACCCCAAAGAATGACTTCACCAATGAGACCACCGCCCACTCCTCTGACACAAGGGATGCGGGAAAGCTTGTCGATGGGCCGGTCAGAACGATGACGGTGTTTACTCGTCTGTCACCATCACACGCTAGAGAGACTACGCTACTTGGCTACGTGGGGAGCTACCATGCTAGTCTAAGGGGACTTATTACGGGGAACCCGTTCGAAAGAAAAGGGGCCTTGGAGGAATACCGGTGTAGGTCCAGTGCTATGACTTTGTTAAGCCATCGCTTCTGGCTGACTTGGGGCACTAGTCACGAGGTATGGAAAGTAGGTACACTGACATGGCTTGGGTGAATGGGAGCTGTTAGTGTTGGACGTCACGGCAGAAGGTCGAACGGTGATGCTCGTTTCTGCTTCCCCTCCCCTCCCTCCGTCATTTCTGCTGTGGTCTCCCGTCTTCTCTCTGACGGGAAGTGCGTAATAGTTGGGAGACATGGACCCCTAACTGCCCCTCGCTCTCGTTTACCCCGCGCGGGTACATGGTCTGATCACTACGAGTCTGGCACGATTGATAGCTCGCGATGCGATGCAATGGCCCCCCAGCTGGAGAAAGAATGCTGGATTAGTCTGACAACGTGAGCCAGTCAGACGTCGTCGATCCTGAGCAATGGCATGGTCTATCCTCTTCGAGCATTGAGTTTCCCCCTTCCCGAAGTATCTTGGGGTTAGCAAGGGAGACCCCATGGATGGAACGGATGACAATCGAGTGCCAGGCTTCGCTATGAAACCCATAGAAACATCTGAGAGGAGCTCGCTCCTTCTCTGAGGTAACAGGGTAAGTAGTGCTACAGTATGTATGCGGCGGTTCTATGCAAACCCTCGCGAATCATGAGCTGGACACGTGATGATGCGCCCAAACTGGTACGAGATCTACGTCCTGGAGCACATATCATAGTGGCTCTGACGAAACGATTGCAGTGGATAGGTAAGCAGACCTACAGGTCAGAGAGAAAGAGGCAGAAAGGGATCGCCTGCCATTGGACAATCGTCTGCTGTGCTGGTTGTCTGTCACAGCAGTGATGTACAACATAGGGGACGTATGTACGGGTCATCGTTCGTTCGGCTCACGCTCCCCACCCCTCTTTCCACCGCGGAGGGTAACGATCGGCGGGGGAGGAGGAGAGTAAAAGTGTGGGGAAGCCCGCCAAACGGCAACTCAGCCGGCGCGCCGCCCAGCGTCAGCCATCATGCGTCTAGACCGATGCAGCCTGACATCCTGCGTCAGGGTCCTGCTGTTCTCATCGGGGCCCTCGCTTCGTAGGCACTCAAGAACACGCGTAGCGAGCCGTTCTTGTGATACCTACCACCGTGTGTTGGGCTGGACTTGTGGTGGCTAAGAATGTCCACGCTTTTTTGGCAGCTTTGTTCACCACCGACGTTGCAAACCGCATTCGGACACCGTAGGACTCGGGAAGCTCTTCCGCCGTCCCATCCTAGAAAACCAGTCCGATCAAACAATCAGCAGACAGATGAGTCGAGAAAGTGGTTCGAGTCAAGCACAAGGAGTCTCGATCACCGCGTCTCAATGGATGATGCCAGAGGACCCGCCGCGTCCCGCTATTCTAGATTTCAGATAGAGCAGAGATTGACCAGATAGACGCGGCGGCGTGGGGTTCGCGTCAGGCATCGTCTGGTCATCTTTTGGCTTCGATTCTTGGGGTTTCTTGGAAACGACTGGGCCGTCAGGTCCCTGCAGATTCGAGGCTTGCAGGAACCGGGAGAGCCAGAGGGCTGGACCTTGCAGAAACGACAGCGGCAATGCCTTACCCTTGCCCGGCGTGTCCCCGCGATCCCCTGAGGGCAAACGCCCGCCGCTGCCTGTGTGAGAGAGTGGCTGACGTCAGGGAGTTTCGAGGTAAAATAAGAAGCTAGATGCTGGTCAAAGCTGAAAGATAGCGAATTCGGTTCATCGATCGCAGAGGTGGCTTCGATGGATGATGTAGGTGTGTGGGGGAGGGGAGACGGAGAGATCGGGTACCCACTACCTCGCATTGGCTCCCTTGGAGCCCCCGATATGCACTTATGGTAGACAGCCGGATAGTGTGGCTGGCTATTCGATTAGCGAAGAGTATGCATCCAATGCAACGACCAAGGACGGTTCATCTCAACTTCCGCCTATCCATCCCTTCGTTCGCAAATCATTGCCATTTGTAACCCAAACTGCGTTGATCAGCGAATTACATGACTTTGGTTCTCGATAGATAACACGAAACTCGAAGGCAATATTGCCCATCTTCAACACGCCTCTTCTCCGTGTACTGGAGACAATGTCGGTTTGAGCTTGTCTGCTAGTCATGATCCTACCAATTATCAGCTGTTATCGATTCTTGCGCGGCTGTTCGGTACTGTTCACTCAGAAAGAGTATCACTATGAGAGACGATAAGTTGTAAGGATCGACAGTTTTTATTGTGTTGTCCTGGGGGACATGTAGAAGAGAAGCTAGGTTGGTAAGAAATGATTAAAGACAAGAGATTAAGCAAGGCGAAAAGGAGCCGCTAGGACTCGCCAGATGCCCGCAACAAAGTTCAAAGTCCCCGATTGATGTTGAATGATCACCGCTAAATCCCTCGCGTTCCAGTCCTTTCCTCTCAAAGTCTTCGGAAACCTTATGGTGTTATGCAAATCGCATGCTGGAAGTTGTGGGTGGAGTGATTGTGGAAAAAGTGCTTTGCGAGAAGCCCGGTCGACAAGCCGACGGGGCGTTGTCAATTATGCCGAAACTCGTCATGGGTGTGCAGTTCCGTGGCTGCAGAGTACCTGCCCGAATGAGTTACCGGCTTGCGACGATTCTCGAATTTAAGCACGACCACCGAGGAGGCCGCCGCCGAGGCCACCGAGAAGACCACCGAGGAGGGGTCCGAGAAGGCCGGTGATGAGGCTGAGAACGCCGGAGAGACCGCCGAGGCCGGAGGTCAGGCCGCCAAGGTCGGGGAGACCGCCAGTGGGAACGCCTAATTGGAAGTATCAGTAACTGTTCGAAGGTCTTGGTTCAGATGTTACTCACCGGGAAGGGCAGGAAGACCGGTGCCAGAGATGAGAGGGGCAATCTGGGCCTGGATGGTGGCAATGATGGCCTGAATCTGCTGGAGCTGGGCCAAGCTGAGGCCGGCGGGGAGACTGGAGCCAATGGCGGTGGCGTTGGCGACCTGGGCCTGAAGTGCACCGATCAAAGCACTGAGCTGCTCGGCGCTGATCGCACCGGTGGGGATGGCGGGAGCGGAGACGCCGCCAAGCGCGGGGATGGCAGGAAGGCCGGGGATGGCGCTAGTGCCGGGAACACCCTGGCCTTTCGGAGCTGTTAATTGCAATGGCCCGATCTACATTCTCTAGATTCACTTACGGATGTTGCCAACAACGCTGAGGACACTGGCCAAGAGGCCGGTGAGGATGGCAACAACGTTGCTCGGGTTGATGGGAAGGTTAGAGAGGCCAGGAAGGCCCAGACCCGACAAGGCTCCCAAGCCGGGAAGGCTGTCAAGGGAGATGCCACCAAGCTGGCGGGCTTCAATCTCAACGTTGCGCTTGGCAATGGCGTTGGTGTTGTCAACGTTGGCAATGGCAACGGGGTTGGCGACGGCGAAGGCCAGGAGGGTGGTGAGGACGACAGCGGACTTCATTTTGATGATTGGAGTTTCCGAAGAAAAGGGGAATTGGTTTGAAGAAGAAGTGGTAGTGAGTGATCCGAAGACTTGAGAGTTGAGAGAGTTGAAGCGGCTGACTATCCTGTAGTGAAGGCGCGGTGTGATGATGAGAGAGGAGATATTACCATCTGGAAGGCGGACGACGAGGTCTTTTATAATGAAATTGGGCTATCGACGAACCGAGGGATTATGGCGAGCTGTCTCTACATCGTCCTCGTCGGCGTCGTCGTCGAGGAGCAGTCAGTCTGCCTTCCGTCTTCGTCGACTTTGCCCTCGACTGGCCCACATCAGTGCCAAGGTCGCAAGGAATCCTCAACGTGTTGTTCACGTTGATCCCCTGCTGAGCGTGACAGTCTCGTGAAGTCTCCGGCTACATTTCCCGCAGAGGTCCATCACAGAGGTTTCGCTTCGGAACCTGACGCCGAGCCAACCATGAAGAGGGACCCTTGGACGGGCACGAAAGGCTAGGCTCCTTGGCTCCTAGGGCCAAGGCGGTCCAGGGAGGGCGGGAAGTCTGAGGCCAAGCGCCTTTGACAGCTTCCTCCCGTCAGAGTCGACCAATCGCTAACCGTCGCTCCAGTCTGCGCGCTACTAGATCCGTCCTGCCATGTCTCTGATGGATAACTCAAATGTGAGACATATCCACCGGTGGGAGGATCGTGGCATCTTTCCTGCTTGCTTCCTCATTGGTGCCTCTCATCTGCGAACGGCTTGCGGGAATGAGTCCCACGGGGGCTCACAATTTCCGCCCAGACCCGATCTCCGTCACGGAAAGGCGCGAATCCCCATATCCACCCATACCCTCCGATGAGACACGAAAAGGATATTTCGGCCGAAGGCCTAGTGACGTTTGCGGGGGGGAGTTGTCGTGATCAGAGTCAGCTCATTCTTCGCCCGCCGTTGCTCCCGCCGCCGATCACCGGTAGGAACACATACCACACTACCTCTCGGATGATGTGATGTTACGGCGTGGCTCTTCAATATCCGGCAGCGTCGAAGTCAAGTTGCCCCCTCCCAGAACGATCGACAGGAGATGATCAATGGAGCCCGCTTGTCAGGATATCCTCTTGAGAAGATGGCTTTCGAGCCTCTTACTGCAATTGTCTCTCCGCCTGGCCTTTGCTGCAACTTCTGCTTTCGTCCGCAGGACACATAGGTGGATGCAATCGTGATGATTGTCGGAGAAATTCTTACGTAGGAGGTTGTGAGGTGAGAAAAACAATAAGTCTATTTTGTCTCAGCCTCCCAAAGCCTCTTAGCCTCAACTTGCCTCCTTTCCCGCTCTCCCTAACGGGAGCTTGCATTCCCGCCCAACCCCGTTTTAGCCGCCTAGACATAAGCGCTTAGAGCTGAAGTAAAGTTGAGAACTGACAGCTTGTCTAGGGCACGATTTTGCAAAGGTCTCACCAACAAGTCTGTCGAATCACGCTCCAGGCTTCCGCCATCTGACATGCTCAAGAATTCATCCTTGGCAAGAGGCGGTCGCGGGCCGACACGACACATTTCTCACTCTGACCGAGTCAAGTTGTGAATAATAACTCCTCCCGCCTCTCACGCCATAGCTCGCCATCCTAGATGCGAGACATTGAGAACCGTCATGGGCCGCAATAGGTGGTCGTGGGGCTGTGTCGGTTGGCTTGACTTGCCTGAGGTATTTCTCGAGCATATGTCGAATTCGCTCTTTGGAGGAGGGCTCCGCCTTTGTTGGCACCAAGCCATATCCAGCCCGGATAATTAAATGAGGAACATGAGGTACGGGGCGGGCATCTGAGAGGCTGAATCAACCTTCCGTATCGGTCTGTTGCAAGCCACGTCCAAATCCTGCCAAGTTTTTGAGACGGGTGGCTGTTCTCTCACTTGTCTTTCACTCCAAATTCAACATTCAACACCTCTTTGCATGAAGAAGGGATATTCTGATAGGAATGAAGGCTGAACTCGCACGTCATATTAGCACGTCACCAACAAAGGGAATTTTCCACAATCTAAGGACATCCGAAGAGAAGAGACAATTTGCTCATACGTAGGTGGAGGCAGCAACCTCAAATCAACTTACCGCCAGGGAACATGTCTGGCTTGACAGCTGTAACGTCACTTTAGTCGCTGTCACACGGCTGTCAACTTAGAGACAACTAAAAGGAGGTCACCAAGCGGATGTTGCATATCCATATTCATCTATCCCTGCCGCAATAAGCGACAAATAATGTCTTTCACCCTCCTTCACAGTGACCACTATCTAAATTAAGCAAAGTCTACTGCTCTAGACAGATGATGGTTTGGCGGCCGCCCACTCGTGAAGCACGCAGTTTGATAGTGAATGCAGCAAGCAAAATGTCAGCTTCTTCCCTCCAAGGCAGCAAGTGTCTCTTGACGAGCCTCCCATACCGATATTGTCTCCTGTTCATGCAGTAGGCTGCCGGGTCTCCTTTCAGACCGCCGATCTTCGTTGCCGGCATCCGGGCTGGAAGGGCCCAGAGACATTCCGACGACCTGGCCTGGGGCGCCTTTGACGGGGTTCGTGGAAAAGCGATTGCGAGCGGGGACTGCAGCAGATACAAGCTTCTTCCGACTGCCATCTCCGGGAATCCTTCGCCTGCGGGCCATCCCTCCCTCTTCGTGGCGCCGCTGCTCCTGGTCACGCCGGTCTTGGCTGCGTCCCGCATTGCCCAGTCGCGAACCCGCCTTCTCTTTCTTCTCCTCCTCCTCGCCAATTTCAATCCTCCGACGCTGCCCGAGCTTGGGATGTTTCTCCCGCAATTCCTCGTGTTGCTGCCGCACGTGGGTCCGTTTCTTGTCGCTGATGCGCAGCCTGCGATGAGCGCGGCCATGTGCCTCGTGGTCGTTGTGCGCTACGCGGTGCTGGTCCATCTCCTCTCGTGCGAAAGGCGGCCCAGCCCCTTCTGCACCTGATGTTCCCGGATACCAAAAGACTCGAGCAATATTCCCTCGCGCTCCGGGATGCGGTCCCACAACTAACGAAACATCTGGTCGAAGATGGCGTTTGACCAAGCGAAGCCCAGTGAGCACTTGCTCGTCATTCCGGGACGAGGACATCCCATTCCTTGTTGTGATTGTTGAGAGTGAGCAGGGGCTCAATGTGTCGAGCGTACGATTGGTTCGTGAACGACTGAAGAGATCATCTCGATCTGGTGGGGGAGGATGCCGAGCCTTACGTGACTCGCCAGTGTGTCTTGCCGCAGTCACGAACATCTCATCCCTGGCGTCTCCTCCACAAAACTCTGGCTGCTTCTGAGTATCCTTCTCAAGAGTGGGAAACATTGCGAACCTGGCATCATCTACAAGACGAATCAGAGCTTCCATCTCCTCAGCCAAAGGTCTCACCTCGTTGGAATCAGATTTCCTCAGGGAACAAGCCTCGCGATCGAATCGCCAACCAGTCACTGCTCTCTCATAAACGGCATGTCGAACAATATCTCGGCGTGCGTCACAACCCGCCTCGGTGTGCCCAGTGTGATGAGATGATTCAGGCGTTCCGCTTTCTCGTACGATTCTAGGCAGCCGGCGAAGGTTCGAAGGGGTCTTTGGCAGGAACCAAAGGGCCACATGACCTCTCCTGGGCGTATAGCCAAAGAAGATGTGTGACGACGCGGATATCCCTTCTCGCAAGGGCTGAAATATTCTCAAGCTGCCGTCGATCTTCTGATAGATGACGAACCTCGCGGTCTCGTTGATCCACGCGTCTGTATATCTCCCTGCCTTCTGCCACCACACAGGCGCATGGGCGAGAGTGCTTGGCCGCGTGGGCTCTGTTAACTTGTTCTCCCATACTCTCTTCCATTCATCACCCCATATGATCAGCTGTTCATGACGATCCTCAACAGCCCATTTTGCGCCGTTGGGCAACTCATTGGAGATCGCGAAGCGTCGGGGACCTGATGTGGACGCTCTTGGAAGCCGAACTTCCCCTCTCATTCTGTCATAAGTCACCAGGTCTAGAATCCGGGCATCATGTGAGTCGAAGAGTGAATGAGCTTCCATTATGTGTTGGCCGGGTTGATCACGGGCAAAGTTGTGATAGTGGCTGGATATTTCGTCACAGACGGGATCTGAATGGCTCTGCTCCATCTATGCTGCTTCTGAAGTTTGTGCTGGTGGTGGTGTGTCAGCTTCTTGAGAAGTCTTCCAGTTGTCACTCAGTGAGTCATGGTGACAAATGAGATGAAGGTATATGCGGCTAGATTCGACTGATCGGCTGTGACAAAATTGGGGTGTTTTGAGCTGGAAACACATTTAAATCTGCCTGGAAGGCTGTTGTTAAGATAGATTATCATAGAGTGAGAAGGTAAGGGAAACCGCGACCACAGACTACGACCGCCCCCGATAGGATTTTCGAGAAAGACCTCAATATCCTAGACCTTTCTAGGTGTAATCAAAAAAATTTGTGCCCGTAACTATTGAATTATGCAACTATAGAAGGAACGTCGGAAGGACGCAACTAAGAGAGGTAACCTGCCGCCATGCGCATTTTGTATGTCATGACCATTGGTCTTATTCACATCTAGGAAAAAGACTTTTGATTAACAAAAGGGAAAATTCAGACAAGCAACGTTCAAGACAAAGAACTATTGTCATTTTGAATCTTAGTTGATTCAAGAGGCTCGGTTACATAATCTTAAGAGGTCATTATTTCTCGACAAGCATACCTATGTGCATGTCATGTAGTACTAGTGGCGCTTGTTCGTTTCCAAAGTCAGCGACACGTATTATGGTAAAGGTGGTAAGCTGAAGATTTGCCTCGAGCTTGAGACGGAAAGCAAGACTCCAGAAGAACCATGATTGCTTGTCAAGGTCGAGTTGAGTCGGTTGAGACCTTGGTAGTAGGTAAATTTGATATGCAATTGGCTCACTTAATCTAGCTGTGGAAGAAGATCACAGTCGTATGTGAAACTGCCTGCCATTGTCTGCAATTATTACAGTCAGTTAAAATTGTGAAAAATACAGGTTCTCAAAGTCTTTTGTGTGTGTTGTATCGAGAGGTTTCGAATCTCTTATTCAAGGCCACAGAAACAAAGGGATTATGCTAAACAACGACTTTGCGCATTATCATGAATGAGGAGTCAACAACTCTCATGCTCACCCTTTGTTAATGTTCTTTGATTGCGAGTGAGGCCTAGATCGTCATAGAGCTATATAGAAGTGCCTTGAACGAGAGAGAACTCAGAGCCGTAGAAGGCAGACCAAAGCAATCGAATCACTTATATCCTATCAATTGACACCACAGAAGACTCTCGTACGGTAGGTGGACACACTTGGGTATCCAAAGCCAGCATCAGGTTCGCCATCGAAGGCAACTTCATTCAATAGGAGTAACAGCAATGTGCTTCGCCAAAACAATATACACATGCCAGCACCAGGAACGGAAACGCGTAACCTGCCGCAAAACATGGCACCATCGAGCGGGTTGGTGCTTCCGCCCGCTCCTCCTCTTCTTCTTCGGCGACGCCCCCGAAGAGCCCTGCAGCGAGCTCCGCGTCAACGACACCATCTGGCCCAACGTGATCTGCCCCGAGTGCCGCACCGCCGAGGAGACCGGGATCGCCACCAAGGGCATAGTTACTAGTACGACCACGACCAACAAGTACCGCGAGAAGCTCACGCCCGCGGCGCTGGCGGCCTCGCGGCGGCGCAAGGAGGAACAGGATAAGGAGGAGGAAAAGATGCGGACAAACTACTGGTCTATTCAGGAGGACTACCAGGCAGGGCTGAGGAAGCGGGAACTGGAAGAGGCTGCTCGACTTCAGGGTGGTGATGCTTCTCTTGCTGATGGGAGCGAAAACTACGCTGATAGGCCTCTGCCCGCTCTTCCTGCTTTTCCTGCCGCCTCAGTTGGTGACACTCGTGGCGATCCGGGATACCAGGACCCACGGCTCCGTTCCAAGAATATGTTCCCTCCGCCTCCGCCTCCAGCTCCTCCACCGGCGCCTGAGAACAAGAAGACTACCAAGAAGAAGCGCAGAAGAATGGAACCTCCCGTAATACCCGAGAGACGTATGCTCACTGTAACCAGTACCGGCAGCCCGATCAGCAAATCATCTCGACGCTCACAAGAACAAAAGCGACGATGCTCAGAAGACAATTGGAGACAGCACCCGCAAGAGAAAAAGAAACGACGGGTGGAAGAGCAAACAAGACGAAACTCATACGAACTAACGAGCCAAAGTTCAGAAGAGGGCCCATATGAACGACCAACGAAGGAGAACCACTACGGCAGAGCTAGACAAGCCGCCGACGAGGCCATCAGGATCATGAAGGAAGCTGATGAGCCGTCGCCGGCAAGGCAGTCCATCGCCGTGAGAAGGGGCAGGGAGATGAAGCAACTGGCCAACAGCTATCGAGAGGAGCAGGCCGCGCCGTGGCCCGAGGAGCCGAGTATTCAACGGCGTCCCACGCCCCCGCCGGAGCCGGAGCCGGAGAAGGCGGCAAAGAAGAGTGGTAAGCGCAAGGGTGGTTGGAACCCGTTTGGTAACAAGGATCGCCGAGACGATGTGGCCCATTAGGGGAGAGGCACCCGCCGCGAGGTTGTTTCTGACGCTCGTTCTGACGTTCAGTCCTTTGTGTGTTGTGACGCCCGCAAGATAGAGAGAGGGAGAGATCACCGTTCTTAGGTGTGCAATATGACGCAAAGAGACGAGAAGAGGGAGGATGAAGGAGATTTGGTGAGTGAATGCTTCATGTTTGTCGAACTATATGTATGTGTTTTGAGCGGCTTCCTTGTTAATTGACATGGATAAATAGAGGCTTCTTCCCCTTCCCAAAAAAATAAGAAGAACACGATGACCGAAAACAAGCAACACGCAAAAGGGGTCCGAATAGGAAACTCCTTTCCGGCCATACAGTATCGTAACTTGGCCGGTAACAGATCCAACGACTGACAATCTGTATACGCGCAAGCTCAAATTGGTATCTGATGAAAGTACTCCGCCTGTGAAGTGATGGCTCCTGCCCGAATGCTGCCATGCCGTGGGGCCTTAATCCTTCAATATCTCTTCTGTTCGTCCGTAGCCTCCCTGTGATGGCTTCTCAACCTTCTTAAATTCGCTCATCTCTCTCAGTGGTAGGTAAGTAGGCGGAGTAGTAAGCGCTGGGCTAGCGCGTGTAGTCTGGTGTTCGATAGGTGCGTAGGTTTGTTTGAATTTCACATCGCAAGACCGATTAAAAGTATTTTGTCGTCGGCTGGTCTGCGAGATATCTATTGTGCCTTTCCGTTCTTGGCGTCGCCGTTCGCCTTGGAGGCTTTGAACTTGGCAATCTCCTTCTCGACGGCCTTGTCAACCCGGCCCTTGAGTTCCTGGCGGTATCCAAGCTTGAAGAGGAACTCAAGCCAAACGAAAAGGGGGGCGAGGAAGACAGCCTGAACCAGGTTGTCCAACAGCGCCGGCGCGCGTCCCTCAAAGGCGCCGTGACCGATGAACTGGAAGATCCAGCAGGCGATGTGGATGCCGATGGCGGCCTGGTTGGTCAAGGTAGGGTTCTCAACCCTGAAGTGGTTGCCAGCGGCAGTGGCGGCCAAGCAAATAACGGCCAGCAGCGTGCCGGCGACAGGTTCGAGAAGAACATAAAGACCACCCCAAGTCAGGGCTGCCAGTGTTCCCAAATTGAGATCTAGATTAGGGACGGTGAGCCAGCTAGGGAGTGGAACGAGAGTTCCTGTGTTGGTGGCCTGAGGAAGTCTGTATGAGCTCAGATGAAAAGACTCGAGTCACGTCTCATTGACTGCTTACAAGGCAAAATCCGGAAAACAAGATTATGGGCACACAGGCCATGTGAATGCCGATGTTGACGGTATTATGGTGGTATGCACCATACTATGAGCTCATTAGCAAGCATACTGACGACGTACTCCACAAAGCCGAGCAATTCACGAACAAAGGTCAAGTGTTTTTCCAGGTCTAAAGACATGATGGCGGTGAATGAAATGAGATGGTGCTTAGACTTGAGCGAAGGGCGATGTGGTGCGCTGAGAGCCGAGGTTTGTTGCAGGACAGATGCACCAAGACGAGGCTGGCTGCAGGATCGAGGCTCAGCCACGGGCGGATCGGCAACAGCTGGAGCGTGAGGGGACCGAACAGATTGATTGCGGTGCACTTTGGAACGGCCGTGTGGATTCCAAATTGAGATAAGTCGTGGATGCACTATGAGTGACTGGGGAGAGAGCTGGTGATGTTGGTGTCGTTGCGGATGATGGAAATTGAGGGAATGCCGTCGTGTTCCGGACAGGGTTGCAATGGTGTTCATATGTGTCCCACCCAAGCACGTCGAGTTACCTTGCCTTCCGCCGAACCTTTGCGGTGCGAGTACCCGTGGGGCCCGCTGGAAGCGCGTTTTTGCACTTCGCTTCGGGGAGTTCCTAGGGAGTCCGCTGGATTTCCAGCAGTCCTAGAAGCGACAAGGTCCACAACGGCGGCTTCTAACTGGAGATTTTGGGGGGAACGAGTCCACTAAAAATCACTAAACGTGCATGCACCAAACATATGACTGACTTCCTCCACCCAATCTAACGTCGTGCATTTGTCGTGTGAGCGCGTCGGAGGCTGGGGAGGCTTTTGGCCGACTCTTCTAATTGAGCTTGAAGGGCATCCGGATGTCGAAACGTTAGGCTGGCCACTTTCAGAGCCTTTGTTGGATAACTAGAATGACTCCAGACGTAATCTGTGCCGCAAGCACAAATTACGACGCAAGCTCCAACTCGTTAGGGCTGGGCTCTCATATCCGCGGTCCAAATGGCGCCACTTGTCGCATCCTGCTGGCATCTGACAGTGCACTCTCCAGCATCGCAATCCACGAATCGGGCTTGTCGCTCATTTTGTCAGTAGGTATTCAAGTCGCTCCTGCCTTCCATAGGTTCCCGTCCCGAACATCGCGCTTACCCCGGCAGCCCGGCTTCGCTCCGACGACCTTTCCGCCCTGGGGCCTTCCGCGCTAGTGCAGTGCTTTAGCGCAAGCGCGGCAGGATGAAGTGAAAAGTGTGGCTTGCGCTTTTGCCAATTCCACTTTTCCTGCCTGGGGCATATGTAAAGTGTGGCTGCCCGCAGGCCAAAAAATTCAGGAGCCACATCTCGCCGCAACAAGACCATCTCAGCCTTGTCAGGTTCATCTCAGAACAACCTCTCCGTTCACTACCCGTCGAGTCACTACGCTGGCGGCGCATCTCCTACAGCGCATCACAGAGGAAATATTCGTCAAACACCTGATTCCTCGCGCTTCTCCTTTATTCCGTCCTTGTGTATTTCTTTTTCTCGGAGGCGTGTCGCGCGTTGCAACCCTCTAGCTTCAGCTTGCTCGCGACTTCTGACCCTACTCACCGGTCTGCATTTCGAAGCCGCGCATCGATTGCTTCATCCCACGCTACCAATTGTTTCACTGGATCCCGGGACGATTGATACTACGTCGATACGAGCACTAGAGTTAGTCTCATTTAATACGGAGAGCTTGGGTTGATAACGCGCCGACGCGTTGTTAGAGGCAGGACACGGCCGACATCGCTGACGACGACACGACGACAACCCGCTTCTCTCCTCCGAGCACGTTGCGCCTCAAAAATAAATCGCCACGATGTTCTTCCTCTACAACATGGAGCGCAGGGTCACCCTGCATCCCTCCTACTTTGGCCGGAACATGCACGAGCTGGTCACGAGCAAGTTGCTGAAGGACGTGGAAGGCACCTGCGCAGGAAGCTACTACATCATTTCCATCATGGATACCTTCGATATTTCCGAGGGTCGCATTCTCCCAGGCAGTGGCCTGGCCGAGTTCACGGTGGGATACCGAGCCGTGGTTTGGCGACCCTTCAAGGGCGAGACGGTAATTGCTATAAATCTGCCTGGCTTTGTCGGGGAAGCGGCTTCTGACATGAACCCAGGTTGATGCTGTGGTCTACTCAGTCAACCACCAGGGCTTTTTCGCCCAGGCGGGACCTCTGCGGTTATTCGTGTCGGCACATGTAGGTTCTCGCTTCCGCGCTAGCCAGGCAGTACCTTTTCGTCAATAACTAACCGCTGCCCTTTCTTTACCAGCTGATCCCATCCGAGATCAAGTGGGATCCCAATGCGACGCCGCCGCAGTTCACCAACAATGAGGATACCATCATTGAGCCAGGAACCCACGTGCGCGTCAAGGTGATTGGTACACGCACAGAAGTCGGTGAGATGTGGGCGATTGGCAGCATCAAGGAGGACTATCTCGGGTATGTTAATATCTGCGAAGCCATGATTGGATCTCACTTACAAATCCTTGCAAAAGCTGCCTCCAGGACTAAACGTCACCCACGATGGGGAAGAGTAAGGAGACGGGCCACGAACAACCACGCCCAACGCGACCTATTCAGACTTTGGTCGGTGAGAGGTGGGTATTCGACACTCTACGCGAGTGAATCCTTGGCCCTCTTTGGCAACAAGTGTTGCTACCGTGCCAGAGCAATCCTTTTGGACAGGGCCCAGACGAAAATATCGAGAGAGTCGTCTTTGGGCCACAAACGAGACATCGCTACGCTGACCAATCTGCATCCGGGAAGCCAAAGATAGAGAAAAGTTTGGAGAGAGAAAAAAGAGGGCATACGCGTGCCTACATCGTGCATGGCTGGCGCGTTTTTTGCGATCCGCAGCGTCAGATCTGGGTTCCTGAGAATTGTACAATAAGCTGTTGCTTTCCCACATTCAACGAAATAAAAAAGAGCAAAGCTACGAGCAAACGCAATGTCGCTCGGGTAGGCTTCTGGAGCGGTCATTTCTTTGACGGCGAAAGGTTGAAATTCCGAAAGTCTACATTGTGACGAGATTTGTGTTCTTTGTGAAGCTTCCAAGGTCTCAAGCTCGGACTAACTGCACGCACTTATCTAGGTAGGTACCTCTCCTTACATACCTTTGGTGACATAAGGTATACCTGACGGGAGCTTGCTGTGGTGAGGTCGTGTGAGTTAGGAATCCGGCTAGCCCCGCCCGGACACACCTCTTCCCCCACGTTTCCTCCCTGGGTAAGGTACCTAGCTCTGATAGACTAATAACCCCCAATCACATTCAACAATCACCCCGCCGCATGAATATCTCCGTCTCGTGGGTCTTTTCTACCCATGGTACGGATACTGTGGTGGGAATGACCGAGTTCCTGTCCTGGAACCCGCTTTACCTCCTCCCCGGCCCGTCTCTCTATCTATAATCCGCGTGCATGCGTACCTAAAATGGGGTGCCCACGGCCGGCTTTCCCCCCGAAGTAATCAGGAAAGCACCCCCGCACCAGACAGACACCTACGCGTATCTGACATAAGGCGCGAGTGACACATTGGGGGGTTGGTTCACATCATGAGCCGATTCCGGTGCTTGACCATGGTAAACCTATTAGGAAGAAAATAACCAAAAGAGTTGTGTCTGACGTCGCACAAGAACTGTTCCTACCTGCAAATCATATAATCAAATCATTGTAATTCGTCAATTTACCGCTTCATATTCATACTTCCATCCATACACACAATGTCGGCGATGCAAGCGGCCAACAAGCTCCGAACGGCCTTCACCAAGGGCGCCGGCCCCAGTTTCGGGTTGTGGCAGATGATTCCCGGCGCCAACGTCTCGCGGGTGCTTGCCCGGAGCCCCGGCGTGGATTGGATCTTGGTCGATTGCGAGCATGGGAACATTGACGGTGAGTTTCACTGCTTTATCAGAGCAGCTCGACTGACGCTGGAATTCGAGGATTACGATGAGAGAGCTGACTTGTTGGTGCCCTACTCCCAGATGGCGCCATGCACGATGCCGTCCCTGCCATTGCGGCGGCTGGTGTGTCTCCTATTGTGAGGTTGCCGGATATGCAGAGCTGGATGGTGAAGCGTAAGGGCATACCCCTTTTCATGATCCGTTAATACCGTTTGAGGCAAGCCAGACTAACAGCATTCCCAGGTGCTTTGGATTGCGGTGCTCACGGGGTAAGCAGACAAACTCATACGAACAGAGGGACTGTTTCATTTATATGCGGTGTCCTCCAAGAATGAAGCTTGGCTGACGTTTGAAAAGATTCTCGTTCCGCTGCTCCGAACCGCCCAGGAGGCAAAGGACCTGGTGCAGTCGGCCAAGTTCCCCCCGTGGGGACGACGTGGGTTCGGGTCGCCTCTCGCCATGGAGCGCTTCAGCCCGGCGCCCAGCATGACGGAGTACCTGCAGCAGGCCAACGACAGCCTGTTGACGATTGTGCAGATCGAGACCAAGGAGGCTCTCGAGTCCATTGACGAGATCGCGGCGGTGGAGGGCATTGACGCGCTCTTCATTGGGCCTTTTGATCTTGGTCAGTTCATACCATCCCCTGAGCAATGCACTTTGGACTTCTTCTTCACTTGGCGTTGAACAATTTCAGCTGACCGGCATCACAGGAAACAACATTGGCCATCCGGTCATTAACGGCGTCATCGAAAAGGAGTTGAGCGATGCTATTGAGCGCATCCTGGAGGCGACGCACAAGGCGGGTAAAAAGGCCGGCATCTTCTGCACGAGCGGCGAACAGTCCAAGTTCTTCGCGGATAAGGGGTTCGACATGATTAGCGTGGCGACGGATTACACGGCATTGCAGTACACAGTATCGGAGTCATTGAGCATAGCCAGGGGAGGGGCGAAGCCGGCCAAGGGTGGATCATACTGAATGACGCCGTAGGAGATACCTAGAGATTCTCGGGAAGAGAAGGGTATCGAATATGGTAGAGGAGTAGGCTGTGCTGCTTGGTTGATCGAACTCTTGGCTCGCCCGCTGGCTACCTCATATGAGCCAAGCAACGCTGCGGCCGTTCTGGATGAGTCAAAAAAAGACAATCTTGACAGAGTTTTACTTTCCTCCCTCTACTTGATCCATCTTGGCTTCGATCTGATCTGGGTCGAATCGATGCATGAGCTTGACAGCTTTGCCAACGAGTTTGACATCCTCCTCAGGGGCCTCGGCTTTGCTAATGTGGATCTGGGGTAAAGCGGCGCACGTCAACGGATTAGAAAGGGTTAAAGGCTCACTTTTGCAGGAAACTTTTGCGAAGGTGGATGTGCATCATCGGATGGTCTCCTTTTCATCCCACGCGGCAAGGGAAGAAGGATGAACTTACCACAGGCACGTCGAAATCGTAAAGGTCCCTCCACTTCTTGTTCTCTGGCTTCGTGATGACGACCTCCGTGTAAGCAAAAGGCCGGCGATCCCAAACGTTGGAGAGTGCCGATTTGGCCCGGACGCACAAGCCGCACTCATCGCGGGAGAAGAGGGTGATCCGACATGGTTGGACCTTTTGAAATAAACGCCGTGTTGGTGCAAACATGTTTATGATTGCTGCAGATCAAATTGCAAGTCTACTGTGGACGTCTCGCGATTAACTCGAAATCTGACGTTTATCCCACCGTAGTGTGTGGGCACAGCATACACTTGAACTGGGAAAAGGAAGGAGGCTCGGAGGCTGTGAAACAGCCTCGTTCTCGGTCAGCTGGGAAAGGAAGACGAGGGGAGTAGAGAAAGGATGGGAATGTCAAATATGATGACTGGTGCCAGGGATCAGGGTAGGTTGGTGTTGAAGTTGAGTTGGAGGGGCATACAATGTCTGTGGTTGTATTTGATATATGTCTGTGAGATTCAAAGTGAGATGATGTGACCTGCCAATGTCTGCCAGTTGCGAAGGTGTGGAGAGAATCGCCCGTTGATTATCGTTTCGAAATAGTCCGATTGATGAAATGGTTGGATCCGCCACGAGAAAAGCAAAATTGCTGCTCGTCCCAGTCCGTCTTGTGATGATGATGGAATGGGCAAAAAAGGCAAAAGTGTGGGCTGAAGGTGTCTGGTCTTTTTTGGGTCGTAAGTTTGAAGTTTCCGACTGAACTTCCACCCTGGCCGAGTTGCAACTATGAACCTGCAAGGACGAGGCCGGATGTAACCTGTCATTGCCTTCGGTCAATTCTTGCCGAATGTGGTCACATTATGGACGTCTTCTTCGGGAAGGCGGTCAAGACTTTGAAGCAGCCGCACCCCACCCCTTCGTTATTCATTACCGGCGAATCAGCAGGACGATTTGGCGGAGCTTGTGCCCAACATGCATAATTTTGAGCCGCTAAATCGCAGTGACGACCCCTGGGAAATTCTGGAATCCTGGAGAACATAGCAACCCCTCCATCGACGACAACCACCCCTCACTCACCACTTCCACTTACGGGGGCTCCTTTCGACAATTTACATCCTGCCAGACCCGCCGCCTCTTTCATCCACACCAATTCTCAAACGTCACCCGTCGTCAGTCTTGAATCTTGCTCATCCTTAATAATTTTTTCCCTTCTTTCCACGCCAATTCCTTGGAGCATCACTGTGTGTCCAGCAAACTTCGATTGCATCTCGCCTCAGCACGCGAAAACGGTAGCGAAAGCCAAGCAGCATAAGCTCATCCCGCCAGCCCATCATGGCAGAAAAGTGCGTCCATCAGGGCTGCGGCAAGCTCTACTCTGATGCCGAGGAGCCTTGTGTCTACCACCCCGGTCCTCCCGTCTTCCATGAAGGCCAGAAAGGTACTCACTCCTTACCCCCCCCCAATCACCATACAAACTCTACACAAGTGCTACGCCATGCTCCATGGAGAACGCGTCCTTCCCGTTCTTGTCCGTTCTTGTCCCGTGCGGATGTCATGGGATTCCCCCTCTTTCGTCCAATTGCACCTCTCCCATCCCCTTGCCATGAGCCCCGTTCAACCGCAATCAATCGCATTGGAAACATTTCACACGAGACACCGCGGCTAACCTCACTCACCGCTACCAAACAGGCTGGAAGTGCTGCAAACCCCGTGTCCTCACCTTTGAGGAGTTTATGGCCATCCCCCCCTGCACAACCGGCAAGCACTCCACAACCGACCTCCCCCCAAAGATCGAGCAAAAGCCCCAAGCGGACCCCGCGGACGCGCCCTCTCTCCTCGATAAGCTCGCATCGGCAGCGGAACCGGCACGCAAGCCCCTCTCCCAAGCCACAGCCGCTCCCTCCCCTCCGCCTCCACCCCCGGAGTCCGAGTCCGACGACGCTTCCCTCGAGATTCCCGACGGGACCACCTGCCGTCGTAAAGCCTGTTCGGCCACCTACCGCAAGGCCTCATCGCGCGATGGTGAATCCTGCGTCCACCACCCCGGTGTCCCCATCTTCCACGAGGGCTCCAAGGGCTACAGCTGCTGCAAGCGCCGTGTTCTCGAGTTTGACCAGTTTATGAAGATCGAAGGTTGCAAGACCAAGGGCCGTCACCTTTTCATCGGAAGCGGCAAGAAGAAGAACGCTGCGGCAGTTGGCGGCGAGGAGAAGCTCGACACAGTCCGCACCGACTTCTACCAGACCCCTTCTACTGTAATCGCCTCCTTCTTCCTCAAGAAGATCGTCAAGGATTCGGCCAAGATCGAGTTCAAGTCGCAATCCATCGCACTTGACCTGCCCACCTCAGACTCGCCGCCCAAGCGCTACACCACCGAGGTACCTCTGTTTGCGCCAATCGATACGGCAAAGTCCACCTTCAAGGTGCTTGGCACGAAACTTGAGGTGAACCTTGCCAAGGCCGGCGGTGAGTCGTGGCCTGTCCTGCGCAGTGATGACCGTCTTACTGGTGAGATATTACAAATCGGCAAGGCGGGGCGCTTGCAATAGTTCAAGACACCACCACATGTACGGAGTACGGACTTACACTCTCGCGCGCTCGCGTTCCCCGGGAGAGCATTCATGCGGGCTATCGGAGTTAGATGGTTACAAACCCCAGGAGAAACGTCAGCCAAAAGAGATGATGAGATGACGCGAGAGAGAAGCGAATGAGGAAACACGTGTGTGAGACACGGGCGACCTCTAGACGCACAGAGGGGGAGGGAAAAAAAAGAGAGAAAGAAAGACACACCAGATACCTCTAGATGGGTATGTGAGACATTCATGTCCCACCCAAGGATGCGGTAGCTACTGTAATCCAAGAAAAACCGTAAAACAAGAAGAAAAAGTTCAAGACATGCTCCTTGGCCCTGACCCCCCTACCACTCGTAACTTCTAAGTTTCTTTGGCTCTTCTTTTTTTGATGACGCCTCTGACTCTGATGGAATGCGTGCTATCTATCTGCCATCTGCCTAGCCAGCCCCATTACCGTGCGGCGTGTTCAAAGGCCACGCTCTGAGAGGCCCGGAGGATAAGGCCTTTGGGGGATCGACTCGAGCCGTGATCTGGTATGTGCCACGGCATGTGACCAAGGGGCTTGGCAGACAAAACGTGATACGCGGCCCCCTCTCTGTTGACTCGGTGAAGATCCGTGTGAAGTGGTACAATGAGTAGCGAGCTTCTTCTTCTTTCTTCCAAAGATCGGATAGAGGAGAGATTGATCAGCCTCGCAAGAAAAGCGGCCTCCAACTCCAACCAGACCCCCTGAGAGCACGAGCACGAGCACTGATTGTTCATCCGTCCAACCCCAATACAGGATGCAGAAGAAAAATCAGAAACGTTCTCACCGTGTGTCACCTTGGGCCTTCTTTCTGTGCTTGATTACCATGGTAGACTTGCGCTTCAGGATTTGTTCTAAGAATACTCAGCGTGGAAATCCGTGCGCTTTTCCTGCGCTCTTGCGACATGGCCGCCTGCGGCGTTAAGTTCACCACCGGTCAAAGATTGTCCATTCTTTTTTGTTGAGATGGATGACGGAAGATGATGATCCGTGGACCATATCTCGATGTTCTGTTAGCAGGCCGTGAACATGTCTTGGCATTCGAACCGCTGTCCATTGCGTCTTTTGGCGGTCAAAAATTCTTTCCTTCTTCCTTCCCTCTTCGAGAAAAAAGGGTCCATGCTGTTCTGTCTCGACTACCTTAAGCTATTTTGCACTGCCGCCTTCGTTGAACTCCTCTACTGCGTCTACTGCGTAAGGGCTAGAGACTAGAATGTGCCGCGAAATGCTGTCTTGCCAAGCAGTCGGAAACGCTGCTAACGACTCTGGTCGCGCGCGCATGGGGGTGGTGCCTCACCAACAATCACCAGAGACATCACTTTACTTAGTCTGGAAGATAGAGTTGGCGATCATCATGACGGGTTCCTCAAGTGCCGGTGGATGGTGTGTACCTTTAGTCCCCTAGTGGCTGGTGCCAATGCTTGCCTTGTCACGCTTGCAATGTACGGATAGTTGTCCGTGTGTGGGATTTGTGTAATGCTCAATTGGCTTATCTGATTTTCTCAATCTACCTAGTACTCTAGCCAAGGCCAAGCTAGCTAGCTTCATCCGCCCCTTACGGAGAGTTTCCTCAACAGCTCTTTTGTGAAAGGCAAACTCGAAAGCCAAGATAATAGGGGACGTGAGTACCCCCCTCCGGCAAACCGCAAGTGTATGTGTGCATGTGAGAGAACAACACACACACCAAGGCAGTTCCCGGAGTCCCGATGCAGCTCTACCCGCAAACTAATACCGACGCTAGTGACAACACCCCTGGCACGACCGACATATCAGATAATCAGTCAGAACGAAAGGAAAGCCAGGGGGTGGGGAATTTTCGATGACTGAAAAAAATGGAGAAATAAAAAAAAGTCTTGGCTTGTTGCGGCCTGATGCAATTGTAAAGAAAAACAGATTGATAAACCTTTTCCAACTCCGAGCCCAGCTGCCCATACAGCCAAACTTGCCAGGGATAATGGACGCAGGCACACGAAGCACGGATGGTGGTGCGCGCAGCACACACCATCCGTACCTAGTCTCGAGCGAGTCAACCACCCCCCATAAACTGCATCACCCAAAACGCCAAGCCGGTGCTGTGGATACAACAGGCATGAAAACATGTAGATTGGGAATCTGTGAAGAAAAAAGAGAACAAAGAGGCAGGGAGGGGAGATCGAGTGCCGCCGCCGCCACATGAAGGTGGAAATTGTTGGAAATCGCAGAACGCATGCTTGGTAAAGAGAAAACACTGGAGCCCTCGACGAAGCGGACTCCGTCACCCCCGCAGGGCCGGCGTCCGTTGATGGAAACGCCCTTCCACTGCCGCGTCAGGATCGGCCTCGTGCTCCGCTTGGCTATTGCCACGAGCTGGTCCGTAGTGGTAATACGGCCAAGACGGTGAAGGCGGCGCCCGCCCGGTAGTCAGGTGACAGTGGCTTTGCTCTCTAGCGCGGGAAGGGAGGACGTGTGCCAATGTGCCCGTCGGAGCTAGCAATAGACTCTACAGTCGTAGCTCTAGACCAGCCGTCGTGCCGCTCCTTATATGGCAGGGATCTCCCTGATAAGAGGCCGAAAAGGGATAAAGCCAAAATGGATAGAACGCAGGCCAGTGGAGAATAAGGCTTCAGAAGGGCTGTGCCGTGGTTGTAGGCGGTAACGGGCGTTATTGGTCATAGTTGTCCAGGTATGCGTTTCCGTAGTGTAAGCGGAAGAGTGTGGTGTAAGAGTGGTAATGGCAACCCGTTCTGCAGGGACGCTGCTCGTTTGTGCCTGGTGTTATGACGTGGGGTGTAGCTGTAGGCGGCTGATCTGACGGGATCTAGACTTTTGTTTTTGACTTCGCCGCACCAATGCAAGGGTGGAGCCTGCCCGCTGCGGGATGCAACGGAACCGGCGCCCCTCGCCCTCAACCCGTGCTCTTAGTTGCCGGGTTAGGAGAAGGCGCTCTCTCGTCCGTGCCATTGTAAATCAGCTGGAAGCCATCGCGACGGCAGATAACAATGGGCTTGTCGTTGGAGCAGCGCCCGATGATTTCGCTGTTGTTCGGCAAGTTGTAAGGCACGGCGTCCTTGAAGTGAATGATTGGGCCGCCGTCCATCGTGAGCCCGATAATTTCAGCTCCCTGAATGCCATCGTCTTCATCAGAAGACTCGGCTTGAATAGTGTTCCTGTATCTCGTGTTAGCGTACATGTTTTCATCTTGGCGGGGGGAGGTTGGGTAGCAACCAATTTCCCGGGGTGGAAAGGTGCACGTACACTTGGCTCATGGGAAGTGTTCCGGCGTCGCTCATCTTCCTCTTTCTCGCTGACGCCTTCTTGACTCTTCGGACCATGCATGTGTGGAAGTAGTGGAACAAACCCGCGATGACCAAGACGGGTGTGCCGAGAGCAAGAGCCCATGGACTATAATGATACGTTAGCAAAAAGATGAGGCTTGCAAGTATGGCAGGGAGGCTACACACGGGTTCTTGCGTTGTCTCAGCTGGTGGACAAGGGCCAGAATGACTCCGCATACTGCAATGAGAGATCCGACCTGAATCATGGTGAAAGTCGACCAGTACAGCGACATGAGGTCCTCGCCGTCGCAGAACTGCAATGCCATCAAGGTGAAGACCTCCATGATGACCGTCGCTAATGAGACGCAAACGCATCCAAGGTTGAACCAGATGCAATTCTTGATGGCTTTTTTCCTTTTTGCGTCCGTCTCGGGGAGTTCGCTCACAGCGTCCAATGTCCTGAACAGTTGGTCAGTGAGGCTGTTTGAGGAGAGATGACCGTGAGACGCAACGGTTTCTGCCGGGGAGCTCACCGTGTGTAATTCCATGCTGCCAGGAATAGGATGAACAGATTGAAAACGAACAAAAGCCAGTACATGACATCGAACTGCCATCTATCCAAGTGAGATGCGAATCTGGCATAGTGCTCACACCGCACCGGGTCAAAAGGTGTAAAGTCTTCTTCGTTGGCTGACATCGTGACTGTTGTATACGTGTTGATCTGGTTGTTGTGTGTTGTAGAAGATGCTTTCACGTCTTCTTTTGAAAATCGTCTGGTGCTCCGGATGACAGAGCGTTGATGAAATTGACACTTGCCAGATGGTGATGCAAGAGGCTCTGCTTCTTTATAGGTAAAGAGGCTCGTTTTGTAAAGTCACCGATCTGCAGGGTTATAATGAGTCGGTGCGGACTTGTCCAGGCTTGCGTGTGCGAACAGGGAGGCGCTTTCAGTCAGGCTCTGATGGCGGGCAGGGGTCGTCGTGGTGCTAAGTCTGCCGAGGGGCACCCCGGTGTGTTCGTGCAGTGTGTGGACTATGAGGCGAGGGGTGTATACTGAGATAATCTGTACGGTGGAGGTATAGATCAAAGCTCCTATGGCTTGTCAAGCAGAAATGTGAGATTAGCTCAGATTGAGATGGCAGAATGGCTCGTCACTGCCCAGGGGACTACTGCAGTTCTGCAGTCAACTAGAGGCCGTTCGCTCCACTGGGTCTTACACCAACATGTGGATCCAAGGCCAAGTTCAAACTCATCTTGTCACCAATGATGCACCGATGCTGAGTCGAGAGAGGAGGGAGGCCAGGAATAGTGCTTGAAACAAGACGATAGTGACAGCGTCGTCGACATGGCTGGTGTTGATCCGCATGTGGATGGCGATGCTGTCTGGGCGATGTCTGGGCAGTCTCTTGGCAAGATGCGCGGGATAGGACGTAGATTGCCGATCTGTAGGCGGGCCCTTGGTGACGGCGCATGTGGATTTGGATTGGTCGGCCGCCGCATTATTCTCCGGACTAGGGGGGGCTTAGCAACGACGTCCAGACTTTGCAACTCTGTTGCACAGATATTCCATGGTTCCCTAAGCTCCAAAGACGAGCTTCCCTTGTCCAACAATCCAATTCTTTCCCCCCATTACCCCGTCCAATGCCCACTCCGACGCCGTCAGTGGGAGGCCACCCCGCGTGCCCGCAGTGCCCGCA